CCCATTTCATCCAGTGAATGAAAAGGTTGTTCTTACTTTTGGTTCAATTTAACAGAATATCAGAGTCTTAAACCAGAAGAGACTTCAGAAGCAAACAAAAATCTGTCCTTTCACACCCCATTGAGCAGAGAAGGACACACTCGGGGTTTTAAGGTCTGCCTGGCTCCCGCCCCTGAGGCTGTTCTCTGGCGCAGAGGAGGGTGGTCCTCATCCTGCCCCTCTGAGAAGCAGTCAGTCAGTCCTGGTGCTTGTGCTGTCTGTAGTCTGGGCCCAGTTCTCACCATCTGGCTCTTATCATGTCCCTTTGACCAGGTTCTGGATTTGTGCCTTGTTTGGGTTACTAAATTCAGGTCTCTGGATCCTTGTGACAGGGTCCAGTTCTGTCGCCCAAATTCCTCCAGAACTAAAACTTTGCATCACCACCCCCCCCATGTAGGAGTTAGGAGCTCCTCTGTAGATGCTGACTTCCCTGGTACCAACTCCCACACAGCACACCCAGATACTACATTCAGTGTCATTTTTCTCCATACATCGAGGGGCATCTCTGAGTCTTATTGCTGTTCTGGATTTAATCCTTATTGCCTGTAGCCGTCTTCTTCGAGTGTCTTGTTCTGTCTACTAAGCTGAGCTTCTGCATTTGGGTCTTTTTAAAAGCACCTGTTCTACACCAAAGGGCAAATCTTTTGATTCCAGTAAACTCTCCCGGGCTGGTGCGCATGGGATGAGACCACTGTTGTGTCAGTTGCCTAGGGCTGCCAAGACAAGGTGCCGCCGACTGGACGGCCTGAACTGCAGAAGTTTGTTTTCTCACAGTCCTGCAGGCTGGACGTCCAGCATCTAGGTACTGGCAGAATCCGTACCTTCTGAAGGCCGTGAAGGAAGGACATGTTCCAGACCTTTCTCCTTAGCTTGTAGATGGTCGTTTCCCCCTCAGCCTTCACACTGCTTTCCTCCGTGGGTGTCTGAATTCCCTTTTCTTAAAAGGATGCCCATCATACTGAATTAGGGCCATCCTAAGGGACTCATTTTAATTCAATTATCCCTTTAGTGACCACATGTGGTTACATTCTGAGATCCTTGGGGTGAGGGCCTCACTATGTAATTTGGGGAGCCGCAGTCCCGTTATATAGGAGGAAAGAGACCAAGATCTCTACGTGTTTGTATTCATACGTGATAAATACTTACAGTTGGCATTTGTCTCCATTGTTGTTCGTCTATGAAAAGCATTAGATCATCAAGAATTTTACTGGATTGATATTCAAGATCATGAAGACATGGGTATTTTTAGGCACAGCCAGAGACTGAACACATCAGGCATGTTTCTTAAGCTGTATAAACTTCCAGTTCCATAGTTTCAGGAACTGTGAGTGGTCATTGGACGTAACCCATGGACTGGTTGTAAAGATTAAGTGAGATAATGGGGTATGGCTCCGGACCTTTCACCCGATAAAGAGCAAGTGCTCAGTAACATTTTATTTCTATGATACCAAACAGGATGTATAAATAATACACGTTACACAAACTATGGGGCAAGTTGGAATGTCCAGGTTCCCCACTGGAGCTGGGATCCATTTCAAACAGGAAGACTCAGCATTGCCTGCTGGTCAGGGAGACTGGCGCGAGCAGTGGGAGGTGCTGGGGATACGCACTGTTGGGGGAACGGCAGGCTTACCCGTGGAGCAGAAGGGCCCAGGGGCTGCTGATCGAGGGAACGGTGCTAATCCCAGCTCTAACAGGGTCCCCTCGGGCCGCAGAACGACAGGAATGGATTCAACCAGTGGTCCTCCACCTTGTAGGGATAGAAGACCCTACAATTCCCTGGGGAGTTTTTGAAAATTAAGTATTGCAGCAGAACCGAAAGGGATTCTGACCGAGTCAGTGTGGAGCCATGCCCCAGTTCATTTTAGCGGTGCAGCTGGTTGAGAACTGGAGGGGTAGCTCGGGGCACATTATGACCCCTTGAGGAGCTTCCTGCTAACGATGGCAGCGTTCGGGCCTCAAGGACTAGAGATTCTGATTTAATTGTTCTGGGTTTGGGGCCCGAGCATCATTACTGTTTTTTAGGCTCTCTTCCAGCAATTCCTATGTGTAGTCAAGGTTACGAGCTACAGAGCCTAGTAGTCTTCAAGGACTATCCCACATCTCAGCCCTGACTCTTCAGAGTGCTGATTCTTCATGAAAATTTTTGTTTTGTATCATAAATGAGTTTCTTATTTAAAAAAAAAAAGTTGCTTATTTATATGGGGACACATTCAACTGGAAAAAGCTTTCAGAATGACTCGTCTTACGATTCAGAATGGCTCTACTTATGTTTTGGGGTCAGGCTAAAGAGTGGTATATTCCCAGGTGTATTTTGGAACTGTGACGCAGGTCCTCTCTCTGAGTTATTTTCTGCCTGACTAGCAGGTGTGAATTCTGCCCGGATGATCGTAGTGGTTGGGAGCCGACAGGTGGGGGAGGGACAGCAGACTGAGTGGCCTTGCACATGTCTGGAACAGGGACTGGAAGTCATGGCTGCATGAGACAGTACGCGGAAAAGTAGTTCTGAGGGTCCAGAGTGTTACAAAAATGTCAGTGGCTATCGCTGTCTTAACTCTTGGTCGTTCGTACAGATTGGGTTATTTCACAGAAAATGAAATCTAACACTTGAGCCAAACCTCTCACTGTAGCTCCAGCTTCCCCTCACAGACTCACCTTCTCTAACGCTTTGCTCTTCTTGACTAGCCTTTATACCCTGCCCTTCACACATGCTGTGTGCTTTTCCATCTCTGTTATTCAGCGTTTGATGTTGCACCCTTTTAAATGCCCTGTCTCTAGCCAGGACTTAAAACTAAGACCAAATTTCACTTCCTCCTCTGTTCTTTTGAATTACTGTTCTCAAATTTTATTTTAATGTTCATTCTTTAATGTTTTTTCTTTTCCTGGAGGAACCTGTAAGTTGAAGAGAAGACACCGTGTTTCTGCATTTAAATCCTGTTTTATACTGAATAAAGCAATAGTTTACAGTGACATGCATGGAAGTACAGTTGTTGGGTCAAGTTGTACACTGTTGGATATTTCTCTTTTTTTAAGTTTATGGAACTAATTATAAAAGTAAGAAACTATGGATTATATTTTGAAGTAGGGCATTTTGAAGTGATGTATTCAAAAGTGCAGTTGAGGGTAATTGAGATAGATAAAGGGGCTGTTTTTCCCGTCATCTTATTAAAGGATGGTACATCCCTTTAGCTTATTGACTTAATGGTCATGTGTTTGGAAAAAGTACTTCAGTCTATATAGGTACTTACTTTCTTCATTGGTGAACAAAAAATACTTTGTCTTGTGTGATTACAGCTTCTTTGTTCTCAGAATTCCATTTCTTTAATTATTTTTAGTAATTTAGGTATTAATTCTTTGAACTATAAAAAGGAAACTACAATATTACTAACACTAGACATTGTATATTTCATTATGTTTTAATGAAAGAAAAAATTCAGTTATCCACAGAAGAAATTATAGCATGATTTATAGTAAAGAAATAACTGAAGGGATTTACATCAGATGTTGACTGTCTTATATCTGGGTGATAAAATAACATGCATTCTTCATTTTTTTTGTCATCTTTGTATTTTTAAACTCCTACCATAAACATATTCCTTTGTATAAGCTTGATTTGGGTTTTCCGTTTACCAGTCATTTATTTACTTTGCCTTTTCTTCTTTTATGCATCCTACTAATCAGTTGTGCCTATTCATTTATTTTAGAGCTTGGGAAAATATACATTCCTTTTCTATCCTTTAACTTAACTTTTATTAACTTTTCAGTGTGATTGTTTTACAAATTTTTATAATTATTTATGATACTTTTACAATTTTATATTTTACAACTTTTTAGCAAAATCTGAAGTCAAATAATTGTCTTCATGAAAGAGGACCTTAGTGTGCTTTGACTTTCCCTCTAAAATGTCCTGCTTTCTTTCTGTCCTCAGTGTTACTGTTACCTAAGAATAGGTTCAGCTTGTTTTTGAACATTGATATAAATCAATGTTAATATTATTATTTTTATAGTTAATACTTATGTAGACATACCAATGTGTTAACATATTCTCCTAATTTCACTGTTAATCATTGCTTTTTTACATCTCACTTTTCTTTCCTGCCTTTTTTTTGTTGTTGTTGGAGCATATCTTTTATTAATGCCTTTGGTGAGAGCCTAGGACTGATAAAATGCCCTTTGCTTGTCAGTGTTTTGGAATGGCATCTAGCTGGGCATATAGCACAGGCTTTTCCTCTTCCACGGGTGCAGCGCATTTCAGGAAGCAATCTGGGGAGGGTGACTAGGGTCACTTTCAGCCCCCTTGCCTGGGGGACCTTTAGTGGGGACTGAGTTCCTCTCTCCCAGCAGGACAGGGTCAGAGATTTGGGTGTGTGACCTTGGGCGACAGAGTCATATATAGGAGGGGAAAAAAAACACAGAGCAAAAAATATGTACATAGATAGATATGTAGGTAGGTAGGTAGACATCTGCTAGGAAACTAGCACAATGGGAAGAGGTAATCTACCTTTAATAGTTTATGTAACAAAAGAGAAACACTATGAAAGGAATATATAATGTGCACAAAGATAGCCTAATTTCAGATATTTCTTCAGGAAGAAACACTGTTTCTTCATAAATCAAAGATGGAATAATAAGAAACACTTCCGTTTAATTGATGTTAATAGTATTGGACAAAAGCAGTAGACTTATGTTTTAAGAAATCATCCTATGGGCTGATGGCCATTTTGTTGTCATAAAAATCCTTTATTTAGCCCTCACCACAAATAAGCTCACAGCAGGACAAAGGCCACTAGTTAGAGTAATTTGGGGGATAAGTAAACAGAAGGAATGGCTAGGAGCAGAGTGTCATCTGGCAGAGAGCTTATTTCCTGAGTCCTGCGGATCTAGTTAAAACCCAACAGAGATGCCAATATGCTTCTCAGTAACTGCTACCAGTCTCCACACTACCAGGCCCACTGAGGCTTGCCTGCCGTGTTTTACGCAAGCCGACCTTTGCATAGCCGTGCAGTCCTGCGATGGCCTGAGTCAGTCACGCACAGAGACTCTCTTGCGCTTACCCAACTGTTTGTTTCCGTTCCCATTTTTTGCTGCTTCTGACCCGCGGTTGTTGCTCTTGGGTGATGTAAGCAGAGTGGTGGTGGAGACACTTCACACTCTCCTTAGATAAGATCTTGCACGCGTTTAAAAGCAGGGCTGAAACCTTTGCAAGCCTGCTGCCATGTGTGCACCTGGGACACCCGTCTCCTCGGAAGGGTGGGCAGAAGCAAGCTCTGTTTACGCCGAAGAGGGAGCAGTCGGGGCTCGGCGAGCAGGTGCTGGTAAGCTTGGGACGTGGGACTCCCACCTAATCATTTTCCCCACCTGGATGCTCTCCCTCTGCGTCTGTTTGCCAGTGTAAATGTTCCCATTCTGTGTGTGTGTCAGACGTGGAGTGATTTTGTTCCATTTTTCAACAGAGTAAAGTTTCCAGCTACCAACTTTATCTTCTCTCAGTCTCTTTCTTTGAAAAAAGACCATTAGATTTACAATATAGCCCTAGAGATTGTAAGACAATTAATCATAGTTATGATTTACGTTCTTGTGTAATAGCCAGGTCAAGAAGAATTTAAATATTAGGTCAATGTTTTTGAAAATAAGGAAAAACAAAGCAAATTGGTTAAGAGTATAATAGTGGGTGAGTCTGGTTTTGTGGTCAGTGTATTCCATGCTTTGCTATCTCATGGCTTATACAAAGGATGAGAAATACAAGACAAATTAGAGTCCTCTTTAGTAGAAAGTCAGTCCAAATATAGGAAGTTTGTGTCACTTCTTCGAAATAATAGATCCTGGGCTCTTGTGAAAGAGCTGAAACCTTTCCACAAACACAGCCCTTGATCCTCGACCACAGAGCCACGGGCACAGAGGGTGTATGGGTAGCAAGCTCAGAACTGCAGTTGATGTTAGGTTTTATGTGTCTCCCCAAGGGAAATGGGTCTGCTAGCTGTTGGGGTCTCGGCTGAGTGGGAGGCTATGGCATATGTGACCCAAAGGAGGGAGACATGTGGCTCAGAATGGGTGGAGTGGTAGACATGTTTTAAGTAAATATTGTTAATATACATGTTCTGAATTGACAAGATGAAAGTGGAAGGATTTCTCCTCTGCCTACAGGAGAACACTGCCCTCAGTGAGTGGCCATTGTTACTGTACACAGATCTCCGTGTAGGTGGTACCTGGAAATGAGGGAAAAGGTATTTTAAAATAAGGTTGACATCAGCCCCTCCTAATATTGATTCTCTGTTGTGATTCTGTAATGATGAAACCTGTATATACCATTTCAGAGACTTTACTGGGTTTGCCGAATATATTTTGTTAGAAATACAATTTGTTGCCATTTGATAAATTTCCTTAATGGAAGCATTTTAGGGAACTCAAGATAATTATGCCAAATTAATATAAATTCATGACATGGGTTGAAGGATAGTTATTTGATGAATGGCATCCAACATGATCTTATAATTTGAAGTCTTATAACCAGGTGATAAATGAGAAAAAAGAAATAGAAGTACAAAAGAAGAAATACCTCAAAATGCAGGCACAGTAATAGTCACATGCAGTGTATTAAACTGTAGGTTGGATTAGCCCACATAGCTTGTGAGATTCATAGATTCTCGTTTCAATCAAGTGAAAGTACATGGTGCCAGTCTTGCCCAGGGCATATGAGGAAGTTGGCTGTTGGAAGTGGTGCCTCTCCCTCCCTCCATCAGTTTTCTTCAGTGTATTTACTGGGCCAGCGTGTCTGTCTCTAGACCATGACAGTTGTATGTCTTCCTTTTGACAGTGCCATAGTGAAATAAACTCAAATTCAGCAAGCGTAAGATTTCAGCCCCATAAACTTCCGTTGAAAATCTTCATTGGCTCCAAATGTGGGCAATAGAGGTAGATGGTTGCAGGCCCTTCCCATCACCACAGTTTTCCACACAAAGTCACTACTAGCTCTTTCACTGTGAGGTCATCTACTAAAATAATAGTAGCAGCTCCTCCTTCCCATGTGCAGCAAAAAGCTCATGCATGAGGTTTCAGGTCAGACACATCAGTTCAAATCCCAACTCTATAAATGATGTGCCTCTCAGCAAGTGAATTAGCATTTCTGAGCCTTACCTGTAACGGGATTAAGTAATACTGATTTTGCCATATGCCCATGGGAATTCCATGAATTAAATAAAATTAACACACTTAGCACTGTATTTGGTCATCATTCAGCCAATGTTCATGTCTCATTCTCTTTTCCCAGCAACAACTCAAGCCAGTTTGAAGCATACTTGGAAGTTTGAGGAAAAGAAAAAATAAAGATTTTAAGTAGAAACTGAAAACGTGTTCTTTTAAGAAGGAAAAAGAAGTTCAAATTAGTCTGTTCGAGGCTGTTACTTTGCAGTTGATTTGGTGATAATGAGGCGACTCATGGTTCAGTACTAGTTTTTTCCTTACCAGATAATTATTTTTGACAAGTACATAAAGTCTAAGTAAACAGAGTGCATTTAGTGTAAATAAATGAAAGATGGTTCTCAGTCCTCTCTCTGTTGTCATTTAATCATTTTGTTTTCTAAAACAAACTAGACGCCTTTACTTTTCCAAATTTCCCCCAGTGGATTAGAGAAATATATCCGTGTTCGTTGTTTCTGGGAACTGAACAATGTACCACGATAAAAGTGAAATTGGGGGAGTAATATGATTCCTTATCAACTAATTTTGCTGTTATTGTTGGATTCCCGTCTCAGTAAGAAAAATCTAGACAATCAGTTGTGACTTTACAATCATCAAGGACCAGCACCTTTTAAAATATTGGCAGCGTTTGCCTCCCTGCCCCCAGCTTCCTGGCAAAACCTATTTGCGGTTGCCCTTTGGCTGCCTGGAGGTGAGCGCTGTGAGCACGAGGCTGGCCCTGCGGGAACAGCCTGGAAGAACAGCTCTGTGAGCTGTCCCCACAGTCCCGCCCGGCTGGCTGCCGACTGCGGTTCCTGGTGCCGCTGTCATTGGTCTGGGGAGGTTCTCGGGGAAGCTGCAGGGGAAATGAGCTGTTACGCAGGGCTTGGCAGAACCATTGTCAGTGATCAATAATGGGACCAAGTCACGTCAGGTGAGTTTCCTGTGGTCCACAGGCCAGCAGGGGTCTGCTGGACTTCGCCTCTTAGCCCATGGACAACTCAGCGCAGCCCTTCAAGCCCCTGCCTGAGTCCTTTCTCCTGTGCCGGGTCCAGGGGACCACAGCGTTTCCCTTCGTGCCTCTGCCTGCAGGAGGGTAACCCCTGTGCACTGTTTCAGCGAATGGTTACTTACGGACCTGCCAGGGCCTTGGTGTTTGCTGGGGGGAGCCTCCTGAGCACAGCGTAGAGTACTACAGAGGGATGCGGTGGCAGGGAGAATCTGCGCGCTGCAGAGATCTGTTTTGGTGACAGCAGCACTCGTGGCCCTGCTAAGTGTCACCCTTGTGTAAGGTTGGACACGCTGGCTTTTCTTGGTTTTGATTCAGAATGCAAAGACCACAGGGAGTTTTATGTACGATTTGTTTTACACTTTGCTGGATTTTTTATTGTGCTGTGGATCTACTGCCATTGCCGGCTAGAATTTAGTGATTTGCTGCCAGTGGCATTTTATTTAACCACTCCGATGCTGCTGTTCTGTGTGCTGGGTCTCCGCAGTTTCTACTACTGCATACGTTGCACTCAGGAACAGGTAAACTAAGCTATAATGTTGATATATAATACAACTAAATATTAACATATTTTCATATATGTTAATATGCAGGGATGTAAAGTTAATGGAATATGTTTATCTGAAGAAGAAGGTCTTAAAATGCTTCATTTAAATTCTGTATGTAAAGGATAAGGAATATTTTGCTTTAAATGTGGAAATGACACAAATACTATTTTAGAATACAGTGACTGTCATCTAGTTGTATTATAGGAAGTTACTTTCATGTTTACTGTTCAAGTGAATAACTGAAGTGTATTTTAAATGCTATAATTTAGTATTTAACTCTCACCTTGATATACATAAAATGCACAGTTCACTCAGAAAGTGTACATTTTTCTGACTGACCAAAGACAGTTGTTTTCCCTGTTTATTGAATTCCACTAAAATTAGAAGGCTTCAGAGCTTAATCTTCTTGGAAATAGGAAGATAGCAGTTTGTATACAGGCTGTGTTGAGGCCGAGGCTGCTGGGCCTGGCTTCCCCTGCCCAGTCGTCCTGACTGTGATTGTTGAGTGCATCATGGAAATGCCTCCGCTTTTGTGCAACGCCAAGCTGTGGACTAGGAGGAAACTGTTCAGATTCTGTGAACAGAGCTCCAGACAGAAAGAAGGAACGGGAATTGCAGGCTTTTGGGTCAGAAGTTTGGGTGTGTGACCTTGGGTGACAGAGCAATTAGCCTTTCTGGCCCTTGTTTCCATTCTGCCAGTTTGAAGAAAGATTCACTGTTATTCTCAGTGGGAATGGCATAGTATTTTTCAGGTACTCAAGATCATCTCATGATGGTTTCTGTGTAGAAAAACACCACTGTTAGTAAATTATTAAAGGTATACAGCTTTCTTGATAGAGGGGGAAATGGAGCTCTCTTTGATTTTCCTTTCCTTGGTAGCTGAAGTTTTTTTGGAGGGGAGATTATAGATCTTTTAAATTAAACTGCTGAATCTCTTTGGCTCCATTATAACTATTTTGCCAAATAGGCATTGGACCAGCCTGCGGTGTCCTAAGGGCACCACTGTGGCCTGGGCCCCTGGGAGGGGAAGAGGCCTGGCAGAGGATGCTGCAGCCCTAACTGGCCTGGGTGCAGAGGTGGCCAGGGGCAGAGCTCCTCTCGCTGCTCCTTGCACTGCCTCAGGTACCGGAGCCCAGGTGAGGGCGGCCCAGGAAAGCCCCTGCCTGCTATTCTCAACATGACTTCTAAGAGGTCGTCCTCCCACTGAGGGCAAGCTTCAACTCCAAAAGACCAGAGGCCACTGGAAAAGCGGCAGCCGGCCACCTCCCACTTGCAAAGTGTGAATCAGATTGCTGCCTACGCTAGTAAACATTCATGAGTCTAAACAGATTTCAGTATCTTCCTTTAGGAGAATAGAGGAATTACCATAAATTGAGTCATGTGCTTGCAGAATGGCTGATAGTTGCTTGTTGATGAAGACCCTGATCTTGTGTTCATGGCCGTACTTACAGGGTCTTCCTTGTGACGGACACCTGCCGCTTTGAGAGAGGCTGAGGCAGTGATGTTCACATGCCCACACATTTGCAAAGGAGACCAGTGTGATCAATTTTTCTCTATTAACCTCTGAGGAACCAATTTCTTT